AGATTGGGGGCACCATAAAGAAACCAATTACTTTGTACAGGGACAAGAAGAAAGGTACTTTGAAGACACTGCAAGAATCAAGAAGACCTCATCTATCACAGCTCAAGGCTGCAAAAGTGTAAACCTTTCATTTGAGAAGATTCTATTACCCTTGCTCAAGAAGGGCTTCTAGAGAATTGCTCCCCAAGCATTTATTTCACTACGCTCAGCCACCTCGGCATTTCCAGGCTACTGCAACCAAGGTCCAAAGGGGAGTGACTACTGCTGCTCCTGAAAGCAGACCTTGGTTTAATCCACATTATGTTGGTTTTACAGGCATACTAAACTCCAACAGTTGTGAGGTCAGGGGGGCTTCTGTCCAGATTTCAAGGGAAAATCTTTGAATCCAGGCAAGGAGCCCCTGAGAGCAGTACAAGAAGCTGTGGAAATGAAGTCAAATGTGTAGTTTAGACTCTTAGGAGATACCAGGAATGTGGAATGTCTGCCAATAAAAAAGGCAGGCCATGAGTTGATCCAGCCAAAGACAGAGGCTATGTGGATTGCAACTGGTCTGGTCATGAGGGCCCTAGCACTTTGGACTTTACATTTATTTCCCTATGCTTGAAATGCCAGCTATGAAGATAGAGGAACTAAGGTTTGCCATGGTGGTTTTCAGTTTCCCTTTGGTCTGATTCCTTTCTATATCCCCTTAATTCCTCCCCTATGGAATGTGACTATTTACCTTGTGCCACTGTACCTTGAAATTATGTAACTTGTTACTTATTTTTACATGTAAGACTTTACCTTGTCTCCAGTGGACTGTTGAAAAATGCTAGAACAGTTGAAATCTGGGACAAGATATTAGTGCATTTTCAGTTGTATACAAGGTAGGAGAATCACACTAGGCAGAATTATGACCTTGTGTTTCTTTGGGAATTAAGTTTGGTTAAGGAGATGGGTTTGGGTGTCAAGTTGGCAAAGGATAGGATGTGATGGTTGAGACAGCCAACTTGATTGGCTTGGGAACCACCAAGAGACTGATCTAGTGCACTTCTGGGTATGTCTGAGGAAGATCATGGAGGCATGGCTGTGTACTATATCTGGTCCCTTGCCTGTCCCGGCCATTCTTCTCTGCTACTACTACTCCTCTTCTCTGCTCTCACTCTGCCATGAACTAAGCATCTCTTCTCTACCATTCCCTTCCACCATGATCTTTCTGTGATGGAGCCAGTCCACCATGGAACTAATCCCCTGAAACTGAGCCAAATTAGACCTCTTTCTTTAAGTTGTAGGTGTCAAGCTTGGATGTACAATTGTTATTCCTTCATTCTTCATATTTTAACTTTTCCTCTGGTAATTTGTTCTTGTTTTTTGCCACCTGAAAAACTTCTTTGAGTATTTCTTTTAAAGCCAGACTTCTGGTGATGAATATGACTAAAATAGAGAATGTAAGTGAGGAAACAGATTTTGCAAGAAAATAAATTTACTTTGAAACATTTTCAAGTTTCTATTACAAATGCTTGTTCACTCAGCTTATAATCCTTTTTTCCTTACCAGTCTTTATTCCAGATAATATGAAAACATTCACCTGAAAATTAAAATATTCAGTTTTATTGTCCTAACAACTAAGATCATTCAAAAAATAACTGTCTACTTAATTGCATGGCCAAAAATACTGACTCCTCTCCCATTTCTGACTCAATTTGATATGCATAGAGCTTCAACAGTCATCTTGTGACCACAAGATAACAAATACGAGGCCATGGCTTAAAAAAAAAAATCACTTTATCCTTGACTTTCAGTATTGGAGTTAAAGAATCTACACCAAAAGTGTCTCTTTCTTCTATGTTTTAAGTCATTTCAGCAGACTTGTCTGCTTTTTTGCACCTAAACGCTTTTAAAAACCTATCCCACTAGAATAGGATATTCTAAATGAAATATTCGGAAGACATACTCTATCTCTCCACCCCAACCACTACCAACTAGGACTGCAGGAACTTTGCTCCAGGACCACAACTGCCAAATACAATAATCAGCATAGACCTGGGACCTGTAATTCCTAAATGCTAGTCCTGTTCTTAAACTCAGTCTTGGTCATGTCACAAAAAATGAGAGCCTTTTAAATGCAGGTCCTATCTTCAATGATTGTCATCTAACAAAGCTGGAGGGAAGCTCAGAATCAAGCCTGCCTCCTTATGCGATTCTGAGGATTAACTTGGCTGAGTTTGTTATAAGCAACTTAACTTCATTAGTAAGTTCCATTTGGAAATACAATACTATTTAATTTTATCATTTTTCACATGGCTGTCATTTAAAGAACATAACTACACCCATGCACCAAGGCCATCCCATAACTTATATTTTGCCTCCATTATTAATACTCATACTGCTGTTTCCCTTCCAGAAGTTTAAATATGCCCCCGATTTTTATTGCATTTGAAAAGCAAAGACCCTCACTGTACCCTCCTCTTCAAAGAACACAGCAGGTGACCTTACCTTAATTTTGATTTTCTCCACAAGAAGAACTATTTCCTTTGTAGTTTTCCTAGTAGATAGCATCCTTTTCTAATATCCCATAAAACACAAAGCCTAAAGTACAGGTTACCATTCTTCTAAATCCCTAATTTTCCTTCTATGTCATGAATCACCCTGCCATATATAAAACATCTAAGTTCATGCATTCCTCTTCGCGTTCTATCACCCATGTATGAATGAATTCCACATTTTTGCAGACTTCAGTATTGAATTTCAAAGTCCTCCTTTCTAGTTTCAAGCTTTGTCATGTGATGTGGATTTAATACTCAGATCAAAGTCATAGTAAAAAGGGGGGCCTTGAAATTTATTGATGACTCATCTTCACTGAACTTCATTCCCACCCCACCCCAAATACACTGTGATTATTATGATGTCTAGAACAATTGCCTTAGAAATTGCAGACTACGATTTTTTTTACTTGGACCACAAGTTTCCCTTGAATGCTCAAATTTCTGATGTTTCCATTCCAAGTACAGACATACAGATGCTTGTTTTCTTTTGTTTGTTTGTTTTTTACTTCTATACTTATTTTATAAAGGCTTTGAAGTGCCTGCTACAAAAGTCTGACATTTATCAGCTGGATATGTATTATGGCCCATCGACCATGGCCTTTGTCCTAGTATGCGGGTCAAGATAACTTGGAAATGCCTGGTTCCCAGAGCCAATGACAGAGAGAAACTTCTGAAATATCTGAAATAAAACGGGGGCCTTATGACAGGAAATCTCCACTCACAAGCACTGCGCAGGAATGTTGTTTTGTCAAATTGCAATGTGAATGCAGTTTCCTTTTGATGGCAGTAGCCCAACAGTGAGGGAAATCCAGCCAATAGCTGATTTCATTGACTATTTCTCTCTCACAGGTGATCAGCCAGACCAGGCAATAAATACAGCTAGTTAGGGATCATTTTGTTTGGCAGACCCAAATTTCTGCGGAAAATACAGACTTGAGAAATCAAAGATACCGTTGAAATGATTAGGGTTAGGAACCAAATTAAAGAGCTCGTTAAAAATCAGGTGTAAACTGGTGGTGCTCTGGATTCAGGAACCTCACACAAGGCAACGAGAGCATGAGGAGATTGTGAACATAAGCAGTCAGTGGTGGAGACTTCTTTGCCTGAAGTTACCATGTATTTGACACTGATAACACAGCATCCCTACTGAGAAATCTAAACTATGTTAACTTCCTTTAGTGTGAAGGCATAGAGGTTGATACCATACAAATATTTACTTTTTAAAATGAGAGAAGTATGTAATTTGTGCCTCTTGTCTATTTCAACTGAACTATACTTAAATTTCTAATATAGTTCTGACCTGATATATATACAGGGAAGAAAACCTCCTTTATGTGTCCCCGTGGTAAAAGGGGCTATTATCAGCTGCTAGAAAATCCTACCTTCATAGGCAAGATATACATAATATCCATGAGCCCTAAAAATAGCAGCAAGAGCACATTTTGAAAGTCCTAGAACAGTGCAGTCAGAGAGGCCCTTACTTTTTCTTAGGGAAAAGGGCATATATCTTCTTAAAATACTATCACAAGCAGTTTATCTCTGTGCCAGATTAGAAATTGGAACCCCTCTCTTCAAGAAAATCTACTAAGATTGCAAGTACTAAGATTGTAAGGTTTAAGTATGATGTGTATCCTCAAAGACTGCAAGTACTGGAAGCTTGGGCCCCCAAGCGACAATGTTAACAGGAGACGGGACCTTTGGGGGACTGGGTCAGTACCTCTGGAAGACACTGACGTGGGTTTCATGCAATCTTGATCAATGATAGCATGCCCGGCCCCTCCCCAGCGTGAATTCTTGTTTCTCTCTCTCCCACTCTCTGTCTCTCGCTTTCTCCTGCTTTGATATGATTCACCGTGACGGGGATCTGCTATGAAGTTGCCAGAGCCAAGAATATGCTGGTACCAAGCCCTTGAACCTCCAGAGCTGTGAAGAAGATGAACTTCTTTTCACTACGAGCCACTCAGTCTCAAGTATTTCACAGTAAAAGAAAATACATTTTTAAATCTGAATTATGTGCTTTATCAGTACACTTTTTTTTTTACCGTAAAGAAACAAAATAGATTAGAATTAATATCTCGGTCTTTGATTTGTATTTTGAAGTGTGATCATAATCAAACTAATTCTCCAAGACAAACTGTAAGTCCATCAAGACCAGTTTTCTACCAGCCTCCCGGAAGGCACAGAGCTCTCTTATTAAGATTTCACTAGCCAGTGTAAATCTTGCTGTGAGATTCCTAATCTGAAAGTAAATTATCCTATTCAGCTCTTTAGAGCATGATAGTCTGTGAAAAATACCCTATCTTCACTTCCAGCACAGATCCAGCCACCATTATACAATGCATTAAAACAGTGGAAACTATCCCAGCACTGAAACGCCAAGCAAAAGCAGAGAGCAGATCAAAGTTATGACGTTGTTTAAATTGCACTGAATTTACTTTATACAATAAGGATCAAAATGAGAGAACACATTCTTACCATCTGCAGCCAAGCAGCCTGCACTGAAAGATATGTCATCAAGAGCTATGACTTCATCCTGCTCGTGGGTGGCCATCATTGCACCTCGAAAAATGACCTGATAAAAGCAAAACGAAACAAAAGAACAAAGTAAGGAACATCACTGTTAGCACAATGCCAGGGAAGAGAGCCTGCAAACGAGAAATGTCGCTTCCAAGAAGCACATGGGGAACCACGCCAATTCCAAGAAAAAGAAATCAATGCAAATATGTCTCAAAGGCAAGGAAATGCAAAGTCATCGCTGTACATGACTCCTGTGCTAGGCAGGGCAGCTTGCAACCACCTTCTGATTCGTTCTGAGGTGTTCGTGTATTTGACCTTTTCCAGCTTTTGGACCCAGGCTTGGTCTTGATTGCTGGTTCTTGGCATTTTGGAATCATGTTCCATTTTCACCTCTGAGTCTCTGAACTTTCTTGTCGTGCCTTGGAAATCCTTGGGGCTCTCGCTGTGCACATTTTCTGGTATCATCTGAACACAGCTCGGGATATTAACCAGGAATGGGCTGTTCAGGAACTTATTGTTAAAATGCCTGGATGGTACACTGTGTGGTAGGTTCTGCAGAAATTTGGGTCTGCCAAACAAAATGATCCCTATCCAGCCCAAATCTGAACCAAATCTGGCGCAGTTAGTCTGGGAAACTTAGAAAGAAGCTGTTCTCCAAATCCTAATTACCTAAATCAAAAGAAATGAGTGTGCTGGGGAAGAGTTTTATCCCACCCTGAGTAAGAAACACCAAGAATGCATGTGGCTTCCCCTTTGGGTATATTACAGAGGTGTGCATTATACAAACTTGTAATATAATTATATTACTATTGCAGAAAGTCAGCACCACTTCTTAGGTTAACAACTGTTAACTTAGGTTAACTGCGGTGTGCACGCAGGAAGCCACAGCAGAGCCTATGCTGAGCTATATTCACATTCGTTCCTGTGTAACAGTCCACACCAACGTATTTCCTTCCAAGCTGGTACTATCTACTACTCTATTATAAACCCAATGAGAAGGATTCATAACCTATAAAGAAGCCTGCTGAAATATGGATCTAACGAAGTCATATTTTCTTCACACAAAGCAATAACTGCTACTCTACCTTGAATGTGGCACCATGTTGGCAAGAACAGTGGAAGATCTTTGTGTAGATGGTTTCATATAGCAGCAGTAACGTGTAATGCTCTAAAGGGCTTATTCAGTGACAGATTACTTGAGTTTCAAAAGCCTAGCTACATCCTTACTGGCACCAGAACTTTGGAGACCTTGTTTGACATCTCTGTCCCTTTTTTTTTTTTTCAGCTTTAATTGAGTTTATTGGTACATTTTAGGGATACAGTACAGTTACATTCATTGTTGGGATCTTGTACCTCTACATGACAAGTCTTGATTCTCATTTTTTCCCCTTACCTCTGCCCTCCCTTCACCCCCTCCTCCCCTCCCCATCTACAAACACTTTATTTTCATCTTTTCATTATCTCACATTTTTTTCTTTTCCCTTTTTACTCTTCCCCTACCCATCCCACCTTCCCTACACCTTTGGCTCCTTTCTTCCCATTTCTAAATGTCAGTAATCTTATTAGGATCTTATGTATTATTGCAGACTATTCACACCAGGGAAACTATTTGGTATTTATACATGTGTGACTTATTTATTTCACTTAGGAGTATATCTTCAATATGTATCCATTTTCCTATGAATGAATCTATTTTCTCATTCTTTATAGCTGAGTAATATTCCATTTTATAGAAAAACCACATCTTCTTTATCCAGTTTCCAACGGATGGGCAAATGGGCTGTTTCCAAGTTTTAGCTGTTACAAACTGTGCTGCTATAAACATGGATGCGCATTCTTCTCTGTGATCTTTTCGTTTTTTAAATGTGAATGATAAAAATAATAACTTATATGATAATAACATATACAAGGGAAAATGACTCCTTACATCAAGAACATTCCCTGGTATATAATTAAATAAATGGTAGCTACTATTATTTTAGCATAGAGTAATTAGAACATTCAAGTTATTATATGAATTTTGTATTTGTTGCTCAAATTTGAAGTGTCTCTACAAATTAACATTTTATCCTCTGAAAGCTCTCTCACGCAGATGAATGCTCTCGGCTTGCTTTAAGGCAAATATCTATAGTCACCACACAGAAAGAGAGAAGTGGAAAGAACTTCAGCGTCTGTTCTTTTTCTTCTTCTACACTCTCTCCCCCTTTAAAAACAATCCCATTTGCTCTCGGAGGTTTTAACGGGTACCCAGGCTGAAGGAACACAACACTGTGTCGCAAATGTTCCTGTCTCTCCTGAACTCTGCTCCCGTATCTCAGATATTTTCAGGCAGATACAGGAGTCATTTCTTATTCACAATATGCTGTTTGTTTCTCCCCAAGCTGAGCTTCTCACCTCGCTCATTTTCGGGCACTAGTACCACAGGATTGCTGCTTTCCAGTGTCCCACACCCCAAAATGACCCCTAGAGGGCCTCTCTCCTCCAGGCTCGTGTCCAAGCAGCCAAGACACATGGAGTCTATATTCCTTTCTTTCTTGTTTATGCTCCTACATCATGTCTTATCTATTGAAGCAGCTTTGAAATTAGCTTCTTGCCTTAGTCCTCTCCTCATTAGAGTTTGCAGTTCATATTATATGTTTATTTGATTCAGCTAAATTATATGCTAACAGGATAGCTGGAGAAGTTACTGTGAAAATGGGGTGTCATTTGAGAAGGAGAAACACGTTTCTCAGGGAAAGAACTATTTCTCCAAGTGTAGGTAATTTACTAATGGGTCTGTGTGCTACAAAATAAAATCCATCAGATATCACTAAATAGATTTTTAAAAAATGTTTTTTCCAGGGTTTTGGTTAGGAACTGAGAAAACAGCTAAAGAAAACAGACACCTAGCATGATAAAAAAGAATCAGGATCCGTAAAAGCCCACGGTCAGAAGCAGCGCTAGTGTACAGTAGTGGCATTTCTAAGAAAAATGACAGCTAACCTTCCTTAGGCCCTCCAAAACTGTGACAAAGATTTTTTTTTCCCAAACATCTGCTTACTTTCAGTAGTTTTGGGGGAAATTTTTAAAAAGATGCAAAATGGTACCACGAAAGAAGGAAGATCATAAGGGAGGAAATTGAGACTGGAGTTAGGCAACATCGGGGAAGTCAGGTATGGCTTACACTGATTCACTGGTAAGTGTGGGACACATTTGTCTTTCTCAGATACTGGAAAAAAAACAGACTTCTTAACAGAGGCAAGCGTTCAGGGCTCAGGTCACTTGATTTCAATGTTTGTGCAATCTGTGGTAGTGACTGGATCACAGATATAAAACTGCTGGGGTGATGTTAGTAGCTACATGATTACACACATAATTACATATATTATACTAGTTTTCTTACTAGTAGTAGATGCCCAATTTATTTCCCAAGCAAATCTCTGAAACGCCAAAAAGATGACAGTAATTTTCCCTATCATATGCTTATATAATAAATATTACATAGTTAAAAGGTTAAAAGGTCTCAGATTATACTTGGAAGCAAGTAAATTGTTTAACTTAAAGATAGCAATTTCTATTTTTATGAGGAACTCATCTTTTGTGCTCTTATTAATAAAATCCACTCTTCCTAAAGGGGGGCTGAGAACTCTCCAGTGTTTCTAAATAAAAGATCAAAGAAATAAAATTGATAATAAAATTTTTAAAGTGCTGTATTTTTACAATTTAGGCACTATCATTTAGTTGAACAATCCAAACATTCAACCAAAGAGAGTGACGTACTTAGTAACTTAGTATTCATTCCTTCCTATCCATAAAACCAATCTTTCTAAAAGTGTGTGGGGGTTCATTTCAATTCCGAGCTAAGTATCTCCTGTATGTTTGGCTCATTTTATTTTTCGCCTCTTTGAGCATTTCAGAATAATAGTAAAATTAACTGTTTATGCATGCAATTTGAAAAATGTGATTGCAGTTAATTAGCACTATGTAATTCCTAACTATCAACACAATCAACAAAAGAATATTTAGTGAGTCAGGTGGTAACATACTTGACCAAATCTGGTGGCTATTTTTCATTTTCTCCCATTTCTTCTAAGTCATTTTAGTGCTTTAACATGACACAGAAAATTATTATGACTCAGAGGCTAAAGAATCACCATCTGAAACCAGACTGCCACAGATTCTAGTCTGGGTGGGTCTGGGAAGGTTGGAGGACTCTAAAGTCCTTTGTCCTGTTGACAATGGGCTAAACTATCGCAGTCCCTCAGGATCTCTTGAAAGTTCAATTCAGTTTTGTCTAGAGGGCTAAACACAATTACTTATGTACTAAGTGCTTCAGTATTAGTAGTCGTCATTCTGTAAGCATCTTCAGAAACCCTCTGAAATGCTATCATTGCAGCTAACATCATTACTTGTTGATGTAGTGGTACTTCCTTGAAAATTAACGTACTTCAGCTTTATTAAAGAAAGGACCTAGTGTTTTACAGATGGATGTGATAAAGTCCGCAGGTGAGAACTAGACCCAGGGGCTTTCTCAGAAGTACATGCTAAGCTGGATCTAGATGGGAATGAAGTAGCTTTTGTGGGTATTTCTAAAGGAACCACACATACATGGTGTCAAACTATCGAAAGTAAGTAATTCTCGGAGGCTTGTAAGCTGATGAGGCAGCAGATACTGTATGGAGGTATTGATTTTTAAAATCCCCACAAATAAGGCTTGCACGAAAGTCTTCAGGACCAAGATACTAGACAGTGGCGAGCTACACTGCAATCACGGCACATTTCTGCAGCCCACCAAACAAAAGCAAATGAACATCTGCTCATTTGCTGACATGATAGAATTGAAACACACCTGCAGTCTTAAAAGAGTGGGCTAGCTAGAGAATCCCGAGAGAGTCATACAGTCCACTAACTGTTAACAAAGCTTTTAAGGTAGAAGCGCTGTTCTTGTATCAACAGTAAAGAATTTGGGGAAACAAATTAATGCACTGCACATGCATCTGTTTTCTGTGCATTTAAAGCCCTTGAATGAAAAACCCTCTGCCTACACATATAGAGCTGAGCGCCCTGCAGAAGTCTTCTGGAATTGACCGTTTTCCATTTATCTATTGCATATACTCAGTCACCAAACTCCATAATATTTGGGAATGGGCAGCCAAGGAAAGTACAGGAGCTGTTTCAGAAGGTTTAACTTACAAGATCCAGCAGCTATCATCTCTGCCCAGCATGCACACTTCTGTGACACTAACGAGACCTCAACCTAAAGGTACAGATAAGTAGATGCTAAGAGGAACTAACTTTGGCTGAGATAGTTTAAGACTTTTACAATTGACACCATTTAAAAGTCAAAACAGGCAAATAATGAAAAAGTACCAGCGTGGGCAAATTCTCCTCTCAGTCACTACAGCTTATACAACCATAGGGAGAGAAGATAATTCCGCAAATCTACTCTTTACTGTCTCCAGGGTTTGGCTCAATCCTCCACAGAAGCGGTCTTCATTTTATTGTTTCTTTTGTGGTGGTGGTGGTAAAGAAAAGACAGACAGACAGAAGGAATTCAGAAGAGAAGGGTAAGAAATACATGACAAATTTCTCTAGTGGTTCGTAAAAACTGAACTTTGATGACAAAGGAGAAGCATTACTGGTTCTCAGGAGAATCCATTCAACACACGTCACCAAAGCCACAGACAGTCTCAGGGCTGGGGGCCATGTACTCACTCCTCTCCACATTCTGATGGTGTTGAGAACCTTTCCTGCATTATGCCTGAAGTGTCCCAAGTACCCCAAATATGTCTTTCTAAAATACAGGATCCATCATTCATAGAAAGGTTTGGATTCCTGAAGGCTTAAGATGGTTCTTCTCATGGCCCAGGGATTTAGCTCAGTGGTTCAGTGGCCTGCCTTGCAAGCACAAAGACCCAAGTTCAATCCCCTTGTACCCCAAAAAAAAAAAAAATGCCTCTTCTCCCCAGTAAAGACACATGGACAATTGGCTTCCAATATCTCGAATTATGGTGTCGAATTATAGAACTGTGGTTCCAACCATACAGTTCCTAAGTCTGGTGTCATTTCATCACCAGCTAAATAATTCTGAAATCTTTCGATACTCATTTAGTTTATTAATGCCTGATAATTAAAATTATGGTGATTTCATGATATTTATTAAGAATGGGACATTCATCTATGTCAAAATACAAACTCTGTCATAGAGAGTCTGGTATGTATTCGTCCTTTTCTCTTAGTCACTCAAAATAGCTGACCATAAAGCTGAATCCAAGTCATTCTCTGTGTTTACATAAGTGTGAAAATCATCCCATGAGATGATTTGCATGCTACAGAAAATTTATAAAACTACCATATCATTCTAATAATAAATGTTAAAGGAAACCTACATAGACTAAATTGGCCCACAAAGCAAGTTTAAACATTAATTAAAAATGTAATGTTTTAAGTTGAAAACAGTTACACATACTTAAAAACCTAGCACTCTGTGCGGTTTGAGGAAAATCTCAGGTTCAAGCCCAACCAGGGCAACTTAGTGACTTAGCAAGACTCTTTCTCAAAATAAAAAACAAGAAAAGAGCTGGTATATTAGAATGTGAAGGCCCAGGATGCAATTCCTAGTAAAAGAAACAAGCAAAAGAAAATAAAAGGCTTTAAAATCTTATTTTTAACTGGAAAATTTTGCTTGGCTATCTCAGATGTTAAAATATGCAACACTTTTCTAAGAACCCTTATAATAATCATTAGATTATAATTTCCACTATGCCTAAGTTTTATTAGACTGCATAAATAATTTGGGCTTTTATAGGCTTGCAATGGATTTAATTCTCAAAATTACTTTGGAAAATAAAAGCTGTGTTGAATTAAGCTTAACCATGAGATGAACATGACAATCACTCTGCTTCAACTGCATCTAGAATTAGTATTTAAGTCAAACAGTCTCCTTCCTCATTACCCAACCTTCTCTTTTCTCAAAAGCATAAAAACTCTGGACAGAAAATAATTCTTAGGAAAAAGAAATGAAAACAAAGAGGAGGTTGAAAAAGAGGAAAAATTTAAAGGGTTCAAGAAACTGGGAAGAGAATTATAAAGTTGTATTTTACCGATACATCAATACATCTTAAAATGTACTGACTTAATTTAGTACGTAAATTCAAAATCTTACTGTGCACCTGTCTTTCAGGATGATCAGCCATACTACTTTTCGTGTGACAGTCCACAGGCAGCGTTTGGACAACATGAAAAAGTCCCTGGCAAACTAAGCTGGCCACTTTACTTCTAATTCATTTATACTGGAGATATGGTTCTTATCAATTTACCTTCCAGAGTTGAAGACACCAAAGCATACCTGAAACCGCTGTGAGCTCTGGATCCTGATGACATCTCTCTGCCACTGATTTGGGCGCCCAGCTGTGCTTTGCCACAACTGCCGAAAAGGATCACCACCTGGAGCCTGCAGACCTGCCAGCAACTTGACACCGATGTGGCTTACGAAGTAATAAAATGTAATCTGTGAAAAATAGTTATCATCCAAACAATTACAATAAAGAAACCTCCAAATGTGACAGCGTATTTAAACTGCTATGAGCCTTCAAATACCTGACAGACATGTGGGTCCTTTGTGGAGAGGAAGACTCTGCTCCTGAGGGCTGAGGAAGTTGAATTCACTCTGCACACCAGGAAGAGGTAGTGGGCTGCGAGAAAGGAGAGGCAGTGAGTTAGGCTGAAAGTCATCATTGATGAATTGACTCGAGGCAGCAGGGTGATTCAGGCCCACATTCTCAGTCGGTCAGTACAACTCTTTACGAAGAATTAAAAGTTAATCTGAGAGTGGTGGTGGCACAAAACTGTGATCCCAGAACTCTTGGGAAGCTTAGGCAGAAGGGATGAAAATTTGAACTCAGTCTGGTTAACTTAGCAAGACTTTGTCTCAAAATTTAAAAAAAAAATTACAAAGTGTTTGGTATGTATCTCAGTGTAAATGCTGGGGTCCTGTGTTCAATCCCCAGAGCAGTGGAAAAAAAAATTTAAACCATACTATTTGTCTTATTAAATGGTCTAATAGTTTTACTTTGTGTATTTCCTGATGAAATTATTAACTGTGATTATACATCACTGTGGGCCACAGTCCAAAACCCAATTAATCACACCTGACATAGAAAGTGACAACCCTGCAAAAAATGGTATCCAGGCAAAACATTATACTGTGATTGCCTACCAAAGTAAGCACTTCAATCAAGAATTCAAAGGAGATCATTACTTCATGTGCTTTTATTTCAAAAACTTTGGGTTGAGTAGCCCCAGTGTTTCCCAGAAATGTGGGAAACACCCCAAGTCCTTAGGTTCTCTTGCCACAGTACAGATTATGCCAGGGATTGCTATTATTGAGAACTTGGAAAATAAATGTTGAGTGTTCCCTAGGCTTCTGTAGATTTCCTGCAATGCTTTATAAGGGTTACACCACATAATGTGGGAACTGTTATAATCTGTTTTCTGCTACCGTGCTTGGTGCAATCCTATTTGTCAAGAGGAACGAGAGAAATCATGATGATGATGACTACGATGGCAGGTCTAGCCAAGTTATTCGGTGGCATTTTAAAGTTGGACTGGCAATCAAATCCAGTTGCCCTGTCATTGGAAGAATCAACAGTACAACTATGAAACTGAACCTCTTCTGTCCTACTCTTATTCCAAAACTGCACTCTACGCAGAAAACAGTGGCATTAATCTGTTTATAGGTATAGCCAGAGGCGTAAGTGAAATCACTCCCTAGACTTATTGTATTAGCGTCACTGAATGAAGACCTGGTATCATGGTGATGACACAAGTGGACAATCTTTAGTTGCTCATGTGGCAGGTAAACAAATGTAAAGCAAGTAAATAATCAAATAAGCACAATGAGCCAAAGGGATACATTATTTGGGGGCGTAAATAATACTGTTAGTAGTACAAATGGTAACAAAATTCAACAAGACAAACTGTTGTTCATAAATAATCAGCTACTAAAAGCATCCATGAGAGATGTAGGGTCAGATTTCCATTTGTCAAGAAAATTACTTAATCATGTTTATTAAAAAATGTTCATTCTTAAAATCAGATCTGATAAATTATTGAGTTTTTATTTTTTTACTTGAGTTTACTGGTACATTTTAGGTATACAGTAATAAAGCAGCATTTGAAATAGTATTTTTCAAGTCATACAAGAATAAATTATCTAAATATAAAAGCAGAACATTTTACAAGTCATTAGGCATGCATTATGATACTGAAAACTGTTCTGTATTTTGTCAAGTATTAAACAGAATTTAACCTTCAGCTTGTAGTAGAAAGTAAAGTTTCAATTTGGAAACATCTAGAGATTCTGACATATGCCCTCGTAATAAATATTTTTCTTTTCATAAGAAAAATGTATTCAAAACATACCCAATATAAATATCTGCTTTCTGCCTTTGGTTCCAACTTAGTGACATCAGCAAGATTTTTTTTTAATTGATTTCGTTTGTACTGTAACTCCACTTAACCCTACATTCATAGAAGGAGTACAGAAGTTACAAGTGGAGATGCTTCTCAGAGAGCAGCATCACCCCTAGAAAGTTCTCTCATTTTCCAGAGGACATCAGTCATCACTTTCATTTATAAGACAAAGAAGTAAATCTTCAGCAGCATAACTCATCCAACACTGAGAGAAAACTATATGAGCTTCTAGATAACAAAAATGGTACTCAGTACTCACTCTACACATCTCTTCCTCCTGGAAGCAGCCTAGTAATACACCTGTCCTATACATGTACTCATCATCACCATTACTAACATCATCATCATCATCTTCATCATTATCACTGGTTCATCTGTACCCCACACCCACTTCAGTTCATCTAACTGGCTCATTAATTCCCACTGTATACCTGCATCTGTAAAAGCAAATGCATAAATACAGAGCACATCTTTAAAATAGACATTTTGAATGATCTCAAGCTATAATATTAATTATTAAAGTTACAAAACAAAAACATAATTTCATGAAAACTAACTTAAATGTTTATGTGGGAGGGACTTACTTGGAAAATATTTTCTCTCACTAACTGGATAAATATTGGAGTAAAATCCAAACACAAACCAGGCTGGATGACACAAAAGGAGTGCATAAAATATGAAAGCAAAAAAAATCATGAATCAAGTTTTGCGAGTTAAATCCAATAACCTTGGTAATGAATTCCACTGACCCTCAGCCTCAAGAAAGATAAGAATTTTCACCTTCATTTCACTCAACTATTGATAGGCAGCCTTGCATCTCCTCCCATTTCCCAAATTCTGAGAGATTAATGGGGCTGAATCTGAGTAGGAGAAACATAAATCCTGTTATAATGTGACCAGTTGGCTCAAAGGAACTCCAAAAAGGCACTGTAACAGTGAGATGATGTAAGTTCTCAAGAGCACCTCCAAAACAATCTAGCTGCAGGAATGGAACACCATAACAAGGTCCAAGGCCACAGGCAAGGTTAAAATATCAAATTTATAAAAATTAGAAAAAGGTATTCATCCTTGACAGAAATATGGCTCCCCTCAGAGAGAACAGTCTTAGAAACTCCTTGATGTTTTCATTTTTGTTTCTTTATTCAATTGTTTCCATCAAATCTTGCTTAATTCTCATATTTCTCCTTAAAGCAACAAGTTCCATGCACCAGGAACTATTTGTGAAAATACCTGTTAAAGGATACCCTCAAATAAGAATTGCTTATAATTTTGATAGCAAACACTAGTGAATGCTATTGTCTCACATTATATATGGCTTCGGTGACAAGTTGAGTCACTTTATAAGCTCATAAAACGTGACGGTGATAATGGAAATCACAAAGATGTCTGAAAATTTTCTCCACCATAAAAGCAACCTTAAAATGGCAAAAATAGTCTGCATTAACTTTTCCATGGCTCTGAAAAGTAATCAAATGTTTATGGCAATCTGGGGAGAGCTTTCAGTCAAGAGATGTCTGAATCTCAGTTTTTTAAATGTGTGTTTTGTGTATCTTAGCTTGTCCTCCTCTCATTGTCTGCTGTCCATCTCCACAGTAAATTTAACAAATGGTAACCTACATTCCTATACATGCCGGCAGGGTTAAATGGAGCTAATGCTTTGCCAAAGCCTCATTCCCATTCATCTGTCATAATCCTGTCTGGCAGTTGTGACAGTCTCTACTTAAAACACTGTCTAGAAGTGTTCACGACAGCAACTCTCAGAACAAAAATCTTTCTTGTATGTTAAGGATTTATCAAAAACAACAAATGCCAAGTGTCTTAACTGTACAGTTGCCTCAGGAGTATGTAATTGCTGGGGAAAACAGACTACTCATAAAATTCATGGGACTGAGATGTCGATAAAAGCTTTGAAAGTTCCATTATACTCCTCAAATTCTCAAAACACATGTACACGTGTGAGACTACGTGAGGCTCCAAGAAAGCAGGAAACAAAGAGAGAGGCAGAATTATCAGCTGGCTGGGCAGGTACTGAAGGTGCAGCCAACATGCACACAAGAAAGCCTCCGCAAGCACTGAGATATTTATTGGTCTAGGTTACTAGGATCTGAATGTTCATTGCGTCCTTCCCAAAAACCTGTGTTCAAACCTAATCACCATGAGGTTTAAGGGGACGGGGATTTAAGCAATGTGTAAAGTATAAGAACAAAATCTTCATGAATGGGAAAGGCTTTCCACAGAGAGCTGCATTGCCCATTCTACCACACCAAGCAGCTGCCCATACAAGTGGGCCTTCACTGGGTGCCAACTGCACTGATGCCTCCATCTTGGTCTCTCCAGCCTCTGGAGCTGTGCGAAAGAAGTTCACTTGTTTAAAAGCTACTCAGCCCATGTTCTAGCAACCTGAAGTGACTAAGACACAGGTATGCAAGAAACTCTCTTCAGTCATGAAGCCAACCAACGAGAGGTTTCAGGGGCCAGATAGAGACTTCACAGAATTAGTTCAGGAAAGTCACTGGAATGAAAACAAACAACCATAATAAACAGTAAGAACAGCAAACACAGGTGAGGTTAGAGGGACAAAAGATTTCCAGATTTGATATATTTATTATATAGGACATTAGTTTATAGGTCCAAACTTTTTTTTTTAATATACTGGCGATCGAACTCAATACCTTGTGCTTAGTGAGGCAGGCAGCAGCACCACTGTGCTAAACCCCCAGTCCTGGCCCAAACTTTTTAATGTGAAAAACAGGAAGAAATTAAATATAGTCTGTATGAAGGGAAAAGAAATAGCCATCAACAGAATGTATCTCTGAGGACTGTAAGATTTATTAGACAAAAAAATTTAAATCATCTATCAAAATATTTCAAAGAGAAAGGAGAATAAATATCTAAAGGATTAAGAAACTGTAACAACAGATGCCCAATATAGGAAAGAATTATTTTGCAAAGAGGAAGGAAATCTAGAGAAGGAAGGAGGGGATAAAACAGGAAGAGGAATGGAAGTAAAAAGATTATAGATTATAATGCCCCATAATGAATATAGTTGTGACTAATAAACACGCAGTGTACAAGTATGAATAAAAAATTTAAGTAAATTAGAAAAATAAGCAAACTAAAAATAGAGAATTTCTCTTTTAATTAATTAAGTTTACTGGTGCATTTTAGGTCTACATAATGCCGGGATTCATCACAGGGAACTTGTCCTTGTGCATGACAT